ATGCAGAGCAGGAGGCTATTATTGTCATCAGTAGTCACATCAGTGCTTACTTACGGAATATCCATTTGGGCTGATGCACTGGAAACCCCAGAATCATGGAGAAAAGCTGGACCAATATACCGACTAAGTGCCCTACGAGTAGCTAGTGCCTTCCGCACTATATCAGAAAAAGCAGTGTGCGTCATTACTGGAACCCTACCTCTTAGAGTTCTAGCAGAGGAAAGACGGGGCCTTTACCAACGAAAAAGGTCAACTGTACTGAGTCCTGAAGAACTTAGAATTGAAGAACGGCAGAATAGCATAGGCCGATGGCAATTACAATGGGATGCTGCAGAGAAGGGTAGGTGGACGCACCGTCTCATACCTCGGATCGATATTTGGCTTAACCGGAATCACGGTGAGGTCAATTACTATCTTATGTTGCAGATGTTGTCGGGACATGGGTGTTTCCGAGAGTATCTACCCCGCTTCAAGCACGATGACTCTTCAGTGTGCCCGACCTGCCAAGGAGTTGCTGAAGATGCGGAGCAGGTCTTCTTTGTATGTCCTCGTTTCGACCCACGGCGTGAAGAGCTGGAGAGGATCCTGAACCAGAGATTGCAACTAGATTCACTAGTGGAAGCATGTGTCATCAGAAGCTGCCTGGAACGCTACCAACACGTTTGCAACAGAAGTCCTCAAAGACTTGCGTTCCACCGAAAGAAGAAGAGCAAATAGCAGAAGATAGAAGGAAGGTAGTTAACACCTTAGCCACCAGAAGGAAGAGCAGTAGCTAGATCCTCCCCTCACGAAGTTATGCCTGACGGCGGTTTCTATGAGGGATTAGAGGAAAGAGGAAAGGGGTTTACGGTTTAGTGGGTAGGGGCGTTAGCGTCGAGTTTTAGTATGACGCTGCGTCGAATCGCCACATATCCAGGCCAATAACTATGCCTAGAATCCGTAAAAAGGATTACCCCCCCCCTAAAGGGAAAAAAAAAAAAAAAAAAAAAACACACTCACACATACAGCCGCACGGACACCATCGCGGGAATAGTCAGGGAAGCTTCCTAGGACGAGGTTCTCAAAACGTCGAGATCTGATGAAAACTCGATTTTCGAAAAACGGGGTAAAAACAATAACTTCCCGATTTTTGAAAATTTGGATGATGTCCGTATGTACGTATGTCTGTATGTTTGTATCTGTGCGTGTGTGTGTATGTGTTTTTTTTTCCTTTGAGGGGGGGGGGAAATCCTTTTTACGGATTCTAGGCATAGTTGTTGGCCTGGATATGTGGCGACTCGACGCAGCGTCATACTAAAACTCGACGCTAACGCCCCTACCCACTAAACCCTAAACCCCTTTCCTCTTTCCTCTAATCCCTCATGGAAACCGCCGTCAGGCATTACTTCGTGAGGGGAGGATCTAGCTACTGCTCTTCCTTCTGGTGGCTAAGGTGTTAACTACCTTCCTTCTATCTTCTGCTATTTGCCCTTCTTCTTTCGGTGGAACGCAAGTCTTTGAGGACTTCTGTTGCAAACGTGTTGGTAGCGTTCCAGGCAGCTTCTGATCACAACATTGCTTCCACTAGTGAATCTGGTTGCAATCTCTGGTTCAGGATCCTCTCCAGCTCTTCACGCTGTGGCTCGAAACGAGGACATACAAAGAAGACGTGCTCCACATCTTCAGCAACTCCTGGGCAGGTCGGGCACTCCGAGGAGTCATCGTGCTTGAAGCGGTGTAGATACTCTCGGAAACACCCATGTCCCGACAACATCTGCGTAAGATAGTAATTGACCTCACCGTGATTACGGTTAAGCCAAATGTCGATCTTCGGTATGAGACGGTGTGTCCATCTTCCTGTTGTCGCGGCGTCCCACTGCGATTGCCATCGTGCAATGCTGTTTTGCCGTTCTTCAGCTCTGAGTTCCTCGGCACTTAGTGTGGTTGACCTCTTTCGTTGGTAAAGGTTCCGTCTTTCCTCAGCTAGAACTCTGAGCGGTAGAGTTCCGGAAATTACACACACTGCTACTTCTGATATCGTGCGGAATGCACTGTGTGTGTGTGTGTGTGTGTGTGTGTGGGTGGGTGGGTGGGTGTGTGTGGGTGGGTGGGTGTGTGTGCGTGAGTTATCGTTGGCGAACAAATCCGGAAAAGTAAATTTTCTATAATTTTTCCAAATTTTTGGGTCTGATCAATTTATGTTTAAAAGTAAATCATAAAACTCGAAAAGATGCGTTGAATCCTATTTACCCTGTGAAAATCGGTTTATTCATTCGAAAGTAATTGCAATTTCAAAATTTAAAGAATGGTGTTTTATTAAATTTCTATCAGACTTTTGAGCACGAAGAGCTCAAAAGCCTAAAAGAGCTAACTCTTTGAGCTCAGAGAGCTCAAAATAATACATATATTATATTTTTGAGCTCGGAGCTCAAAAACGTGAAAAGTGGACTTTTAAGCGCTTAGGTACGGAATTAGCGGGAAGTTGTAGGGATGGCTTTTCGGGTCAATCGTAGTGTTGCCTAGATAATCTAATGTTGTACTTTATACACAATTTCGATTGTTTACCTTGACTTAATACTCCTATAGTGTCGTCAAAAGTCATGGCTTTAATGTTCAAGGACGCAAGTATCGCCTCCTTGTCGGCGAGGGTTGGATCATCATTGCTAGGCACTTTTGCCGACAGGATGCAACACATATCGCAAAGATTTACGTTAACGGCACGTAAATCTGCTCTACTCAGTGGTGACCCCTGAAAAAGAAAAAAAATCAAATTTAAAAGAAAATTTTCGATTTCTTTAGCAAAAAGTCTTGAATGAGTTCTAAGAAAAGTCGTTTTAATCTGAGGATAGATGAAAAATTTATAAGTTACGTACATTCAGTACAGATATTTTTGGTAAATTCTGTAACATTTTCCATTCGCGTCGTATGTAGTCAACAGACCCAACTATTACTACATGTTTAAGTTCATGGTAATGAAAATTGGAAGCTCGTAATGGCATAACTAGGTTTCTCAGTCCTATTAAGGGTGAATCAGGATCAGCAAACAAACAAACTACAACGTGACCATTGAGTACTGTCATTGCCGCCTGGTTCCGATCAAGTATACAGTCTTCAAGGTTGCGTGAAGGACTCCAGTGAAACATTCCCGTGGAGTCGTATTTCATTTCAGTTTTCTCAAAATCAAAATCTTTGGCCTGATCATCAGCAATTCCAACCTGAAGACCGCCGTTGTTGTTGACGTTTGTACCTCCTGAGCCTCTACTTGTTGGCCTGCAAATCATTATTTTTGTTCAAGCTAATTTGAAGAGAGTAACATTTTATCACTTTGACATGCTCGAGAGTTGTTTATGTGTATTTAGAAACTTTAACAGCGTCATTGTTTCATAAAGTAAATATCAATGGAATAGTACGAAAATTTTTCTTTGAGCGATTTTGATTACAGAATGAAAAAAAATTTAATTATAGAGAATTAGACGCATTGCTCATGCAAGAAAATATGTCAAATCAACAAAAAATTTTGCTGAACTAATCATATTTCTTACTTTTTAAAATCATTAATAATAATGGTTCATCGCTTACAAAATTTTGGTTTTTAGAGAAAACAAGTCATCAATTTTTTTTTTTTTTTGATTGGAGGTGTTTTCTCATCATAAATAAAAAAACATATCTGCAAAAAAAAAAAAGAAAAAGAAAAAGTGAAATGATGACAAAAAATATTAGTTACTCTATGTACTTAATTGCTGAACTTACTCGGAATTATATCAAAATTATAATAAACTTTATTCTGTGATAATTTATTACTGTTACTGTTAATAAGGTAGTACTACCGGTTTTAGAATTGACGTTCAGAATTTAATGAAATTTGGCATATTGGTACTTTATAATATCATAATTATGCAGTAAAATTTTTGGAACCTGAGCAAGTCTTGAAAAAAGGATATTAATATCTACATATTTTTGCTTTTATCATTGATCCTTATGGAGAATCACAGACTTTATTTTATTTCACAACACTGGACGTTCAGATTCTTATAAAAATTAAGACAACGAGAGAAAATAACATCTAGAACATATTTCATAACAATCAGTATGGGTTCCAAGAATATGAGAATATTTATTAATAAAAAACATTCAAAATTTATCTCTGTCTCTCTTTCTCCAACGTGATTTAGTATAGAGAAATCTACTACGTTAATCAAATAAGGTTAGGTTTTATGATTTGACTCTTGTGGTAACGGTAGTACTACCTTAATATTAATGAACATTTATAACATAGCAAAGCCAACAAATTAAAAAAAAATCGTTCAATTAATAAGCATGATACATAAAAAATTAAAAAAAAAAAAATCAAAAACTAATGTGACTCAACTGTCTCTAATTTTAATTGAAGCAGTTTCATGGAATAACACAGAAAAATCGATTACATTCATGTAATAATATGAAAATATGTATAAAAATCACAATACGTTTGATATGTTAACAGCATAAGCGTACATGAGTTTTTTGACTTCGTAGGCGAGATGGTAGCCAGAGTATGCAGAGTCCTCTTGTGATCTGTAATCAAAAGGTGATGTCCGGTCTTTAACTTAGCATCACCAAAGTGATTGTTATGTCATATAACTTCTTTCATCAATTTTTTCACCACCTTTATAAATTAATATTGTTTTGATGTAAACGTTTTGGATTAATTGATTTAATGGACATAAACACTGACTGGAAATTGTCGAATGAAAAAAAAAGTAATACAACTGATTATGTGTAGCGTAAAAGCAATCTGTAATAGTACGATAAAATGTATATTTAGTTAATTGATTAAGGGGGGAGCCTGCTTTAGAGGCTTCAAAAAATCGATTTTTTTTTTGCATAAATGTCTTCCCAAACTATCCTAGAATGTGTCCCTAAAATTTCAGAAGCAAATTGAAAAATTTTCGGAGTTACAGGAAAAATAGTCAGGAATCATCGAGCAGGTATACGAGCGGCCGGATCGCTCAGACTGCCCGCGCTCCGCCCTTCAATCTATTGTATGTGTTGTACCTATTGTAACTATTGTACGTATCCAAAAGGGAAGTCTGAAGGGCAACTCTATGGACCAGGAATCGCTGATTAGCATATTATTGCGGTAAGTTCAATTACGATTTTTTATATACGAAAACTTTGACGCGCGATTTCTCGCTTTTTCGTTTTTACGATTTTTCCTAATTGGCGAGAAAGATAGGGAAAAAACTAAACGTCCTATCGAAACGAGACAAAATTAATTGTATTCGGGATTAAATTTTCTTCTAGTTGAACCTAAAAAACCTTAAGAAAGTTATGATTAACCCACTTTTTAAACAATCTAAAGTAAATTTCTTTTTTAATTTGCGAAAAATTGTCTAATTTCTCACCTTTTGTTGAATTTTCTTTGTTTAACTAGAAGCTATACTATTAAAATAAAAATTTTTTTGAGTTTTTTGTTTCAGATGGAAATTGCGACCTGAATCTTTCGCGCCGCACGACACATGCACACTCGAGGCGTCTCAGCGAAATGCTTGTACCAGGCATAATATGACATATTTTAATAAAAAAATTTGAGAGACTGTTGAAATATATAATAATAAAACCTGAAAGTTTCGTTTTAATCGAATATTTTTTTCCTTCCTAAAAAAGTCCTCGGAAAAATCGATTTTTTGAACCTTCTAAAGCAGGCTCCCCCTTAAGGAAAAAATATGAATTTTATAAAAATTATGAATTTTAAATAATTGGAGTGTTATTATTCTCAACCTAACTTTCAAAAGTTCATTTTTTATTAGACTTCGACGTTTGTAGGTCATCTTATGCGATTCTTAAGCGATTCTGACAATTTTCACGATGATGCCGTGTGTGTGTGTGTGTGTGTGTGTGTGTGTGTGTGTGTTTTCTCCCTTTAGGGGGGGGGAATCCTTTTTACGGATTCTAGGCATAGATGTTGGCCCAGATATGTGGCAACTCGACGCAGCGTCATACTAAAATTTGACGCTGACGCCCCTACCCACTAAACCCTAAACCCCTTTCTCTTCTATCCTCTGATCCCCCATGGTACCGCCGTAAGGCATTTCTTCGCGGGGGGAGGAATTAGCTGCCGCTCTTCCTTCTGGTGGCTAAGATGTTATTTCTTCCTTCTAGTTTCTGTCATTCGCTCTTTTCCTCTCAATGGATTGCAACTCGGTAAGCACTTTTGTAGCAAAAGTGCTTGTGGCGTTCCAGACAGCTTCTGATGACAGCATTGCTGCTACTATTATCTCTGGTTGGATTTTCCTCTTCAGGATATTCTCCAGCTCATCCCGATGTGAGTAAAAACGCGAGCACTCAAAGAAAACGTGCTCTGCATCTTCATTGACTCCTGGGCAGGATGGGCACTCTGGGGAATTATCATGCTTGGAGCGGTGGAGATACGCCCGGAAACAGCCGTGTCCTGATAACATCTGTGTAAGATAATAGTTGACCTCACCGTGACTCCGATTTAGCCAAACGTTGATCCTTGGTATGAGACGATGCGTCCACCTACCCTTCACTGTGGCATCCCACTGTAGTTGCCATCGACTTATGCTCCTCTGCCGCTCTTCTGTTCCAAGCTCCTCAGCGCTTAGTGTGGTCGACTTCTTTCATTGGTAAAGGATCCATCTTTCCTCAGCTAAGATTCCGAGAGGCAAAGTTCCGGAAATGACACACACTGCTTCCATAGATATTGTGCGGAAGGCGCTTGCTACTCTTAAGGCACTCAGACGGTAGACTGGTCCAGCCCTTCTCCATGATTCTTGCTTTTCTAGTGCGTCTGCCCAGATAGATATTCCGTAAGTGAGCACTGATGTGACTACAGATGATAGCAGTAGTCTCCTGCTCTGCTTTGGGCCTCCGACGTTTGGCATCAGTCGTGCTAAGCTGGCTACCACTGCTGATGCTTTTGCACTCACGTGTTCGACTTGCTGCTTAAAGTTGAATCGGGCATCAAGCATCACTCCCAGATATCGGATATATGGTTGTGATGTGATTTCTTGTTCTCCGACTTTCAGTTTTATGGTCTCTATCACTTTTCTGCTGGTAATAAGCACAGCCTCAGTCTTCTGTTTAGCCAGTTGTAGATTCATTGAATTCATCCACCGGTTAACTTTCTCAAAGGTGATACCGAACATGTGGTTTATCTCATCTAGGTGTTTCGCAACGATTACGATAGCTACATCGTCTGCATATGCAACAAGCTTGACACTCCTTGGAAGAGTCAGTCTCAGCAGGCCATCATACATAACATTCCACAGAAGTGGACCCAGAACAGAACCCTGGGGTACACCTCCGGTAATATCGTACTCTTTTGGATCATTTTCCGTGTCGTACCTCAGGATTCTGTCCGTGAAGTAGCTAGCCACTATCCTTCGCAGGTATCCTGGTACGTTTTTCTCTTCCAAGGCTTGCATAATGCAGTCCCAGTTGGCGGAGTTGAAAGCATTTTTAATGTCCAGAGTGGCCACCAGGCAGTACTTCTTCGCTCCACCCTTCCATCTAATCCCTTCGATTGCCTCGTTGGCCGTTGCAACAACCAGGTTGATTGCGTCCAGGGTTGATCGTCCTTTCCGAAAACCATACTGGTTGTCTGCCAGGAGTGGATCGACCACTGCTTCTATTCTTTGGTGGATTATACGCTCAAGTATCTGACCTGCCGTGTCTAGCATACAAAGTGGTCGGTAAGATGACGGTTCTTCTGGTGGCTTCTTCCCTTTAGGTAACAGTACCAATCGTTGCTGTTTCCACTTACGAGGAAAAGTCCCCTCCTTAAGGCATGCATTATAAGCGTCTAGGAATAATGTTGGAGCTGCCTTTATGATGGTTTTTAAGGCTAAATTAGGGATTCCGTCTAATCCTGGCGCTTTATTATTCCCTACACGGTTACAAGCCTCCAGCAATTCTTCTTCAGTGACAGGTGGGATGTCGTCCAATTCGCCTGGCGCCAAGTGGTAATCGAAGTTGCGTTGCTGTGGAAACAGTGCAATGACGATTTTCTGAAGGAGTTGAGGACACGTAGGTGATGGCATTTGTTGTTTTTTCAGGTGGGTCATAACCACCTTATAAGGCCTACCCCCACACGTCTTTATCCACCTCGTATATGAGCTCTTTCCAGCATCTTCTTTTGCTCTGTTTGATGGCTTTATTCAGTTCACGGCGGGCCTTTTTGTACTCTGCAACCAGTTCCACAGAGTTAGTTCGTCGGTAGTCACGCTGAGATATTCTTCTCTTTTGATGACACTCTTTACGAAGGGCGCTGATGTGGTCGTTCCACTAGTGAACGGAAGGTCTTGTGTTCATGCCACGTCTACGAGACATACTGGCGTCGCACGCCTGGGCCACTCTTTTCATCAGGTCCTTGGTCTTCTGCGCAACCCGCGATAATCTGGTCACTATTGAGAGCTACTAGCAATGTACTTGGGTCAAGAGTTTTTACCTTCCAACCAATGGTGTTAAGTTGCTCTTTAGGTCTTCTCGGGCTCTGGGCGTTTAATATTTCCCAGAGAATCGCGTTGTGGTCGCTGGCTGTGTAGGTATCCATCACCTTCCAGTTGATATTACCTCTGGTGAGGCTGCCACTGACGAAAGTGAGATCTACAATAGAACTTGCGTCTCCCTTGGTGTAGGTTGGTGTGTCACCACTGTTGAGCAGTACTACATCTAATGTAGAAAAAGCTTCTAGTAATTCCTTTCCTCGCGCGTTTGTATGCTTGCTTCCCCAGTCTACTGCCCAGGCGTTGAAGTTCCCAGCTATTGCCACTGGGTGGTAATGTTTCGCGTCCTTGGTAAGTCGATCCAGAAATGCGGTGAATTCGACAGTAGAGAGGCTAGGTGGTGCGTAACAGCTATAGAAGCGAATGCCCTCTACTGATACTGCTACAAAGCCGGCATTGTTGTTGTCGACCGCATTTTGGAAAGAGAGCTTGCCACATGACCAGATGACAGCTTTGGATGTGCTGTCAGATTCCCAGGGTTGGGTACTCAGGTGTTTATATGGCTCTGCTATCAGTACCAAGTCAAGCTCTAGTTCTCGCACGGATTGCATGAGCAGGTCATGCGCTGCCTCACAATGGTTGAGATTGAGCTGCAGTATCCTCATGCTTGTTTGTTCGTCAACTTCTGGAATGCATCCTGAAATAACGGGCACTTATAGGTACCGGCATGGTGGGCAACATTCTCTACACATTCAATCTCAGCGCATAATGCACATTTAGCTGAATTTTCGCAATCAGCAATCTTGTGCCCTAATTGTCCGCACCTGATGCAAAAATACACGGACGGACTAGACTTGCTCGGGGCGGTGAAGATTCCGATCTTTAACACTCACTGCGTACTTCCTGATCAAGGCCCGAAGTGACTGGCTCCTGATCCACTACTGCAACTTACACCTCGGCAGAGCCAAGCTCACATCAGCCGTTGGCCTGCATCGTCGGAAACTACGACACAGGTTCCGGGCACTCCCAGTGAGTTACAGCAGGGACCGATCGTCTTCGTTAGGTCTAGTTAGTGTGACCAACCCATTAAAGGGGAGTTTGTCCACGGAGCGTATTTTGTTGGTATTTTGCTTGACTCCTACCCGCTGTACCCCATCAACTAAGAGATTATCCAAGTGTCATCCAAGGACAGCGAGCGTTCTCCCATCCGCTCGGGGAGACGCGCCCGGTAGCAGTATCTCTTCTGCCCCGAGTGTGTGTGTGTGTGTGTGTGTGTGTGTGTGTGTGTGTGTGTGTGTGTGTGTAAATTTTGCCCCCGAAAATGGTTTGTAATAGCCTTCAGTTTATCTCAAAAATAAAATTGTCAAAATATCTTTTGCTGTTTTTTTCAAGAACTCCTATCCTACCGTACTGATCATTAAAGAAATCTAATCGGCTGTTAACCTCAAAAAATAAAGCCTGATGCCATTTTTTCAATGAACGTGTGTAGGTTAATTATGCTATTAATTTATCTATTAGAAGAAGAGTTGCATGGAATGAATGAAAGATAGTAATACCACCTATAACATACCTCTGATTATATGGTGGATTTGGGCTCGATAAACTGTCATTGGTTGTTCTATTTACATTTGGCTTGACTTTATTTACTTGTTTCGTCGAATTTATTGTCGTCATTCCTACTGAGTTTCGATGATTTCTCAGAGCTACAACATATGATTATTATTATTAGTATTATGGCATTTCAAATATTTCACTGAAAAAAAACTGCTTGATTCAAGAAACATATTTTTTTTAGAATTTAACTTTTGTTTCAGGATATTTGACTCTTTCAACTTCCTGCTTTAAAAATCAGTGATTAAAAAAAAAATTGTGTGTGTGTGTGTGTGTGTAAACCTCTCATAACTTTTTAATGGTTGGACCGATTAAAATGCGTTCAACAGAATTCCAAAGGGTTTCACCAAGCTTAGATTTGCTAAAAATTTGAAACAATTTGGCTCGATAGATTTTGAGAATTGTTAAAAATTAAATCTTTTAAAAAAATATTTTAATCATCAATTATTCTTATAATTATCTAATCGGCTTTTGACCTAAAAAAACACTGTCGGTTGCTAAAACCTCATTAAAGACGGTTGCTTCGTTCGGAAGATATCGTTGACAAAAAATTTCAAAATAAATGTTTTTTGGAATAAATTCAAATTTTCATGTCGAATCATTTTGCAGCTAATGAACTTTATTTTTTCACTCATAAAACCGTGTTGAATGCTTCAAACAAAATAGAAATCAGTGAATTCGTTCAAGAGATATTATTGTCAAAAAAATTCGGAAATGGCTCTTTACTGAAATATGGACAGTGGAGTTGCTCGGTAGATTTTATTAGGTAGTTACGGGCTGGAAGGAAAGTGCGGAAAATTTTTTTAGATAACTTAACTGAGAAAGCACTTGGTGCGTAACTAAAATATCTGGATTCGATTCCCGGTCGGGGTTGTTTGAATATTTTTTTAGTAACCGAAAAATTCCCACTTATCAGCCCTCCTCTTCTCTCTATCCATTATTCTCTCTCTTCCCCAAATTTTTCGTTAGATGAGAAATTAAATATTCAAATTTCCAAGCTCAAAAATGTACATAAGTTGAATTTTTGAGCTCAATAAGCTCAAAACTGTAATAAAAAATTTTTCACACGTTTTAAACTCGCATACAGCGAGAAGTTCCAGGGATGGTCTGCAAGGTTTGCATTATTTGACGTGTAAAAATGCTTACCGTACGATGGACGGTGTGACTCAATGGATACACATGAAATAATGCTCTGAAGTGGGAAAGACCCGCATGGAGAAATATATATGTCAAAAATATATGTCGCATATATAATATATATGCCGCATAGATTTACGCAAAAAAAAATATGTCAACATATATTTTTCACATAGATGCTGACATATATGCAGAGATACATGCTTACATATATGTATACATATATGTAGACATATATGTAAGCATACACTGAAAAAAAAATTTCTAAGATTGAGAATTTTTTTACTCAAATCAAGAAAGTTAAATTTTTCAAAGTTATTTTCTCGATTCAATTAAAATTTTTTCTGTGTATCTCCAGACACTTATATGCGCACATATATGTGAACATATATGCACGCATATATGTGATCATATATCTACGCATATATGTGAACATATATTTAACGCAAAAAAATATATATGAATATATATTAGGGTGGGTCAAAAAAATCAACTATTTTTTTTTTTACAATTAATACGGAAAAATGGGTTACTAGGCACCTTAAAAAAATTCTCACCAAATATGAACTCTTAATTTTAATAGGAAGATCCTCCGCGTCGCAGTTTTTCATTTTTTTCTCAGTCCAATAGAAAAAAATTCATTCCTCATCATTAATTGGTCGTACAGAAAAAATTTTTTTAAGAATTTTGTAGGAAATTTAATGCTCTACAAAAAAGGTATCTTATGTTTTTTCCGTAAACCTCACCATTTCACTAATATTGAAGATTTAAGATTGATTATTTTAAGTCAAATGTCACTTTTGTTTATGAATTTTATAACTCGACAAGAAATGGCTATTATTGAATGGGCAATAGAAATTTTTGTAGCAAATTAACTGCTCTATAAAAATGGTATCTTATGTTTTGGCGATTAAATTAAGCGTTCAAAAGATATTCATCATCAAACTTTCATGTATACCGATTTTAAGAGTTTTTGATTAAATAATCGAAAAATATCAATTTAATCTATCAGTTTTGAGAAAATTTACACGAAAAACATTTTTTTTTATCAACTGAGAAACTTCAAAATGTTTTTCAAGCTTTTTTTTATGTGTAAGTATTCTTATCTACATTTAAAAAAATAAATTGTACATTATTTATCGCTTAGTTAATCATTTATCAATAAAAAAAGCAAAGTTTTCATTATAAATATATTATGATTTCAGTTTTAGAGAAAAAAATGTCCAATTAGTTATAAGAAAGTTTTTTATTTCAATTTTCAACTGAGCTATTTATTTTCAAACAATTTTTTGTTGCAAGTAGGGTAGTTTTTTCGATGCTCTTTCACAACTTGCAATAAAAGTTGAAATTGCTCTTCGTCTTTCGTAAATTTATAAATTTCATAAATATATAAATTTATGTAGTGACCGCAAAATTTGTAAATATTTAATCGTTTTATCACATATACAAGATCATAACTTGTGGAAACACTAGAAATGCTGTAGAAAATGTAAACAAATAAAAACAATATAACTATAAAGAAAAATGTAGGTGGCGCTAGTTCACAAGGGAAACAGAGTAAATAGAATACAAAACAAAAATTCTCTACAGGAAAAATTTTCCCAAGGACAATATACAGCTGTAGTGGAAAAATTTTTTAAGACGTTTTGAAGACGTTATAAAAAAACAACATGATCGTGATTTCTAATGATGAAAAATAAAAAGTTTGGAATTATTGAATAAAAATTTTGAAAACAAAATTCAAATAATACTTACATTAAAGACAAAAAATGAAATTTTCTCAAAACTGATAGATTAAATTGAAATTTTTCGATTATTTAATCAAAAACTCTTAAAATCGGTATACATGAAAGTTTGATGATGAATATCTTTTGAACGCTTAATTTAATCGCCAAAACATAAGATACCATTTTTATAGAGCAGTTAATTTGCTACAAAAATTTCTATTGCCCATTCAATAATAGCCATTTCTTGTCGAGTTATAAAATTCATAAACAAAAGTGACATTTGACTTAAAATAATCAATCTTAAATCTTCAATATTAGTGAAATGGTGAGGTTTACGGAAAAAACATAAGATACCTTTTTTGTAGAGCATTAAATTTCCTACAAAATTCTTAAAAAAATTTTTTCTGTACGACCAATTAATGATGACGAATGAATTTTTTTCTATTGGACTGAGAAAAAAATGAAAAACTGCGACGCGGAGGATCTTCCTATTAAAATTAAGAGTTCATATTTGGTGAGAATTTTTTTAAGGTGCCTAGTAACCCATTTTTCCGTATTAATTGTAAAAAAAAAAAATAGTTGATTTTTTTGACCCACCCTAATAAGTATAGATATATATGCTCAAGCAGTAGCAGACTGGGCTCGTGAAAATGACCTCGAAATAAATTATAAGAAGACCAAAGTCATGATCTTGGGAAGTAAACACAAATTGAAATTGCTTGAAAACTTTGAGCTACCTGAGATCATTATAGATGGCAATGTAATACCATATACAAATTCAACCAAACATCTAGGAGTCCATCTTTCAAATAATCTTTCTTGGAATATGCACATCTCACAGGTATCACGCAAAGTTTATGGTTCACTAAATAGTTTAAAACGTAGGAAGAGTTTTTTGTCCACACAGACCCGCAAGTTATTAGTTTCTGCT